ATATATATTGTGTGTGTTGTTTGTTATATATATATATTATATATATATATATATATTATTATATNTATATATATATATATGTATATATATATATATGTATATATATATGTATTATATATACATATGTATATATGTATATGTATTAATTACGTATATATATATATATATATATATTGCGATTGAATAGGATACTATTTTTGTCATACATTATACGTGACATTAATTTTGTTGCATCAATCTAGTATATATATATATTGGGTTTGCCAAAAGCACGGCCTGGATGTAGGTGTCTGCCAAATTCGGCATATCAACTTAGTACATTATTCGCCAACGATATATGTTAGCACGGAGTGGTAGTATAGCTGATATCTGCGACCACTCTCGTGTATTTACGTTTTGAGTGAACAGTTGACGTATTTATTTATATCTGTTATCTTGTATGTACTCGTGCGTACTTGCACACTCTCACACTCTCACAGGATGAGAACTCACTGCTGACATCGGATGATATCATCAATAAGCGCATCCCGTCTCAGCGTTACGTTGCCAAATAATATATCATTTGCTACAAAAGTATTTAATGAGACTATTTTTCCCCTTTTTTGAACGTTTATTCTGTATACACAAGGTGTGTTCTGTAGTATTTGTTCTGAAATCGGTACCAATGAAAGAACGCTTGTACGGCACTAACTAATATGAAACAAATGGGCTCCACACTATATATATATATATATATATATATATATATGTGTGTGTGTGTGTATGTGTGTGTGTGTGTGTGTGTGTGTGTGTGTGCGTGTGTAGCTGTGTATCTGAGTAATTTGTTATGTCTGTGCGTATCAAGTTACTTCCATACTTTTGTGTTTCAGAGGCTGTTTTACGATGATCCGGATGGTAGTCCTGGTGCTATCACTTGTATGGTAGATTCCTTCGTGGAGTGTGTAGTGCTGTCATGTGCGCAGCGTATATCATGTGAACCACATATATGAATGCATGTCTGTGTCACTGTGTGTGTTATACCAAGGCATCTTGCAGTTGACAAGCTATTCCTACCTTACTGTGTGTCGAGATCGAGCAATTCATGACTATGTGTGCGTGTATTCAATACAGTAAACGCGGATATTAATACCGATTACAGTTAGTTGTGTAGTAGCTATTGTATAGAACTGCGTAAGCCTGAACACAAAACACGTTGATGAATACAAGTGCACCTGATGTTGACCTCGGTATGTCATTACACGTTCATGTTAACCGCACGTTCATGGACAACTATCTCTTCGCGATTGTTCGAGACCACTTCGATTGACTCAAAACGTTAGTGGAGACCATTTCGACAGTTTAGAGTGTCAAACCTCGACAGCTATGAACGCCGTAAACGTTTTCGCAAGTGTGGGTATTGATTCTTAGCGATATGCGATCATTTACGTACAATAAAAATGCTATAGAAAAGGACGTTGAATTGTACATGCCCCTCTCTTTCGAGAGAGGGGTCTCTTTATTGCGTTGCTTAGTCCGGCGAGTCTTTTGTCGCCGTCTTTGTTGCGTACGCACATGTATGCACGTGCTTAACCATAAGTTGGGTAGGTTATAGCTGTATACCGTTACCGTGCATGCATGCACGTGCATAACCATGAGTTTGTTAGGTTATGGCTTTATATCTGCCAGTTGAGCTTTTGTATCACATCACAGAGTAATCAGGGGCGTTGTTCCAGGGCAGTCTTTCCGAGGCCCATCTCAACCTCGGAGCGTGTGCCTTGTACTAAGTTTTCGTCTAACGGGTGTAGCGTTTGCAAGCCTTTACCCATCGAATATGTCCTTGTAAGAAGCAGAAGTCCTTTCTTATAAAATAGGTGCATTAGGTGTAATTCCGAGTGCGTGTACGCTCAGAACAGTACCACAGGACCAAAGAATATATCCTCGAATGTCGACTGTCCCACATCGCCGATGTGCAGTGCGTAAACTGTGGCATTCTTAACCGGTAGGGCGGGGTTGATGACGTAGCTCAGTGTCTCGCCGCCTTCACTGCTCTCTGGTGCTCTGAAGCTGAAGTTCTCAACGGTCTCCAATTGGTCCTCGTAGAAGACCTACGAAAAACAATACAAACAAACAGAACAAGTGGGTTAGAACTGATAATATTACAAACAAAGCAGAACAAGTGGGTTAGAAATAATAATATTGCAAACAAAGCAGAATATTTTTCATTATATGAACAAAGCAGAAGAATTGAGGCAGAATGGCGGAATTGGGGAGAGGCTTCTGTGCCTGCATAGTCGCTGGTTGTAGAACGTTCACGTTCACGTTAACGTTAATGTTAACGCCCTCGTGTCGTGCACTTCGTGTGCCGACCAAGTAGAACCCGACAAAGTAACGCAACAACCGGAGAGCGAACAAAACCGATATCAAGCAGTTCGATTATCAGACTTACCATGACTCGGAGAACGGGCAAACTTTGCTCATCAGTGAATGCGCTATAGTCAAACGCTGTCGTGAAGCACTGCAGGAACAGCTGTCCTGTCCTGGTTTGGTTTAGTTTCACCTCTTGGTAGCCTCCTCCGTTGACTTCTGCGAGTAGCACACCATTGGCCACTGAGAAACCAGTGCCGACCTCATCCCAGTCTTCTTCATTGAATTCTGTGATTGCAAGGTGTGGTGTGTGTATGGGTGTAAGTATACATGACTAGGAGGATACCGAGATTCCATATATACAACATATAGTTTTCCGTATTACGCACATACTATGTGGAACAGATATCGATTACGTACATACTGTGTATACCAAATATAGATTACATATATACTATGTAAAACAAATATAGAATACGTACATACCATGTAAAACAAATAGGTGCATACTACATATAGATAATCATTGATACTATACTACATATAACCATTTGATACTACTAGTTGTTATACTATTTGTTGATGGACCTGAACGATAGCAAATCCCATAAAGCATACCTGTAAGCAGATTTTCAGCCCGCTCAGCCGTGACAATCTCTTCGTTTGCCTCAATGAACGCAGTAGTGCAGTCTACACTCGCACCGTCGCCTTGGATCACGGTCAGACACACCCTGTACTCATTCACTGCCAAATATGTATGGTCAACTACAGTGGAGCCGTTTACTACTGTGCTGGGCGTAGTGGCCGTTTCGTCCCCAAAGCGCCACTGGAAACTCAGATCTTGCAGATCCCCATCGCCCCCGGGTGTAGTCAAACTCGCATCAAACTCAATGTTGACTCCCACACTACCGTAGTATGGACCTCCGGCATCTGCCTGTAGTCCCGACAAGTCGATTGGTGTTTCACTCTCTTCGTCACTTCCGAACAAGCCGCTGAAATCCACAAAGAAGCCTGACTCGCCATCCACACCATCACTCGGCTCTAAGGTCGTTACCACTACAGTAGCGACGTTGGTAGTGGTCAAGCTAGTCTTTGTCACCGTATCCAACGGATCTACTGTTGCTGTAGCTAGAGTATCCGTTGTGAGCGTGTTGGTCCCTGTACCTTCGGTATTCTCGATATCCACAGTAACACCCGGAACAACACCGGTCACAAACTCTGTAGTGGTCGTCGTGGTTGTACTAGATGTCGTGCTTGTACTGGATGTCGTGGTTGTTTCCTCCGCCACCGTCACCCCGACAGCCACATCGACTTCGGTACAGTCTGCGTCGGAGCGTTCACCATCTACTTCCACAATAAGACATACATCGAAGATACCCGCCTCCGTATACGTGTGACTCACTTCTGTGCCAAGTACTACGGTAGTGTTAGTGCGTCCAGGTATCTCATCTCCGAATGTCCAAATATAAAACTGGGCGTTAGCTGACGAACCATCTGCACTGAATGTCTGAGGGATAAACTGGACCGCAGTGTACGGGCCATTCACTACCGCTGTCAGGGTTGTATTGTCAGCTACAGTGGTTGTGGTTGTGATATCCTCAGTCGTTGTAGTTGTGATATCCTCGGTGCTTGTAGTTGTAATATCTTCAGTGCTTGTGATCGTAATGAACGAAACAGTTGTAGATGTACTTGAAAATTCGGACGTTGATAATTCGGACGTTGAGGTATCAATTGTGAAAGTAGGTAGGTCTGTACTTGACACCGTTGTGGTGTCAGGTATAGTGCTTGGGAATTGAATAGTTGAAAAGATAGGGAATCCACCGGAAGTCAGAATTGTTGCTTCATTCGAGCTACTCACGGCTGTATTGAAAAGATTAAAAGTACTGGCAACAGTGCCAAAGGGATTGAACACAGATGTAGTCGGCGTAACAGATGCGCTCGTGGCAACTGTGACGACGGGGTTGAAAGTAGTTGCGAACGGATTGAAGATGCTCGCCGTTTGCCGTGCATCTGTAGAACGTAAGATATCAGGTTAAAAGTTTAGCCCATGTTACCACCCCTTGTCTCTATCCCTTTGTATAAAGTTCTAGTAGGTTCGTTCGTACATTAGGAGACTTCGATCATGCTGTCCCAATACTCTAAAACTGCAGTGCCAGTGTGGATTATCTCGGTTTTACATTATCAAATTCTTTGGTGACACTGTGTACATTGGCACACGATATAGAATGCACCATATATCACACAACAGCTCTGCACTAGATAAAATATATTCATCGTATTCATGGATGACAGAAATGAAAGCAGACAGACGAGGTTGGCTTGTGTGAATTCCACGCTCCTACACACTGCACACTATCATACTTGATATAGTTTCTGTCACGCTGGCTGATGAAGAAAGTGCTATATCATCGCGATAAAACCACCACCAGTGCCACTACTAGCAAAAACCCCCTGATATAGATAATCATCCATATGCAATAAAAGATACAATACCTGTGAAGTCCAATATTAAAACAGCCAGCACAGTGGCGACAGTCTTCGATTTGAATAGCATATTATCTGATATATAATGTAGCTACCGAACTTTTGCGCGTCTATCTATCTTCAAATCTCGAAAATATGAAGTGAGAAGGAATTCGTCGAACAGAATTCTTTTATCTCAATCTTCAAACTTGATCAGCAATTCTCTTGAAAGCAAAGAATATCAGTTTGAACAAGACTACTTTGATAACAGTAAAATATCTTATCAGCACTTTTTATTATTATATATTAGTGTAATTTGTCAAGCAATAGCAGAGCGACTGTAAAATCTACCAGGTTTTCAGCAGTCCTCATTGGTGTTCAAAAGCGTAAGCACATTGCAATTTGTATACAAAAAGTGCCTCCTCACAGGCACTAATAATAAATACAAATGCCCTCAAATATTCACAAGTTCATATTTTACTACTTTTGATATTTGTAATGCAAGTATAATACAATTTTCTCGTTTAAATATTTTCAAGTACTACAATATTATATATTACTTTAGCGTTATTTGCTTGATTCGTAAAATAGACACCAATCAAAATTACAAACCTATCACATCTAGCCATCTGCTCATTCAGATTTCTGCTGCCTTTTTAGTTTTTTTGTTGGTATGATTTTTTTTCTCGCACAATTTTCGGTAAAAAGAAAGTGTTCAGATTTTCGTTTCCTAATCCGCCCCAGGGGGCCAGCCGGCCACCTGCGGACTGCGGTCCTGCGCCAGTCTCAGCGAGTCAGTGACTCACTCAGACGACCAGATCCTTTCCCCTTTTTGTTTTTTAAAAAGATATATATTTGATGTTGTGAATACAAATATCAAAACAAAAACTAAGCAAGCTAAAATATTTAGAGAACAAAAACATCTAAATATAATATGTAAAGCAATTTTCAATCGTATACGTTAAACGTTATACATAGGGTAAATAACATCGGGATTTTTCATTTTTATTAATATTATAAAACAAATAGATCACACCATTATTTTTTACTCTCTCAGGATCCGATTCCTACATATGTAGCAGTATACATATATACAATTTTATTATTTTTAAAAGAGCAGTAACTTTTCAATTTTGAATTTAGAGCATATAAAAAATATAAATATAAAATCCAGCGTCGGACCATAACTGATGAGTGATGACCGTTATAATACTTTTTTTTTTACACAAAACGTGTAAAATATTTTTTTCTAATCCATATCTGAGTTTACGTTCAACATTTACTGAACAAAAGTTTTTCCAGAAATTAGTATAGGCTGGTAGTTATTTAGTATTTACATGTTTTCATTTTGCAAGAGGCGCCAAGATGAGTTCCTGTGTAAAAACTTCAAATACTTTTAACCCACACGAATACTGAGTACAGAAAAGTCGAATACTATTGAGGAGTGAATTCTGTCATTCAGTCGTATTTACTTTATTTTACTTCTACGGGTCATAATACTAAATACTAGGTGTCGGTTGTGTCCAGTGAAGCCGTTTACTGTGGTTTAAAGGGACATGATACTACTTGAGGGTGACGATACTACTAGATGGTGTCGGTTGCATGTCCACTGAAACCCCTCACGGTGGTCTTAAGCGACGGATCTAGATTATCAAGGTGTTTAGTGTTATTATAATCTACTATTCGGATTTCCATTTCATTTGACGAACCTCTATGTACGCTGCAGAAGAAGAAGAAAAAAGTTTTTGAATAAATGGGGGACCATTAAGTTCACGTCTGTACGATAATCGCATCTAAAGGCAGCAAAGCCTCAATGCGCAACTACACAAATAGAGAGACCTAACCCCTAAACACAAGACCCTAAATGTCATACCCAATGGGCACACTTGCAAAACTGTCTGCGCATGAAGTTGAGTTCAATATTCAGTATATTGTTCTTCGAGTATTATTGATACACAGGATATGACTTCAAATATTAAACCGCAGAGACAAATATAGATACTACACACGCATGCAATACAATCTACAATCCCAAAACATTATCATCTCTCATGGTTCACACTTGGATTGCATATCAAAACACACTATAGTAGGGACAGTCGATAGTGCACACACCTCAGCGTAGAGAGTGAAACGTTTTCCGGTAATGTGTTCGTAGCAATCAGAGCGCCGCCTTTGCCAGAATTTGGCTTGTTCTGATAATACCCGAACAGATGGAATATCACTCCGCCGTGTGCCGTTACTATCACTTCATCGGTTGTATCGACTACCCGCTCTATTATTGCATTGAGTCCCGCTAAGATTCTTTCTTCGAATTCATGATACGTTTCTCCCCCTTTGGGAACGTACGCTGCGTATTCAATATTCTCTTTAGCAGCCGCCTGGGTGTGAGAAGACAAATGAAATCAGTGGAAATTACTCTAGCACACAGCATATATATCAAATAGAAGTTCTCACAATTGAACAACCTTGACAGGTACGGAAACGTCTACTTTGAACGAAGCGTGTGTACACGACATGCGCGTAAATATTACTACTTATGAAGTCACGAAAAAAAAATTGTATAAGCATATCACTGCATACATTTGTATATATACGTGTATATATATATATATATATATACGTG